ATTGTCTGCTCGAGATCCATCTTACTGAAATAAACAGTAGAAAGATGAGGAGACTTGTTGCAAGAAATCTGCTTATGTTATGATGAATGGTAAATGTGTATGCAATGATTTCAAGGAACTTAGAGATTCAAATTCGTTTTAGACAAAACGGAAACACACGTTATATTAAAATATTAAAGCTTGAGTACATCAATACCTCTTTGGGCTTACACATAAATACAACAAAAGACTCTAAGATAAAAAGGTTGTGCGCATCCTCTTTAGTGCGATGTAGGCATTCAGGGTCCGCTCCTCATGAAGTTGCTTAGTGAGTTCCAAAACCTTCTTCTCACTAGCATAGAATTGGGCCTCAAAAGTGTCTCGCTCTCCCTTGAGTTGTATCTAATCTCTTTGTAAGTCTTCAAGAAAGGTGGGCATGTCAGGATGCAGGATAGTGTATGAAACATCTCCCTCCATGACAGGCTCGAGGATTACCGGGAGAATGGAGGGATAAGGCATCATAAGACTCTGAGCATGAGTTCGTACCCATTTGAGGTAAGGCTCAAGAGGAATGGAATTCTTGTGCCCCAAAGTCTTGCAATCTACCTTGTTCAACATCCTCCATGCTCGGATAAATCTCTGGAGAAGACCTTGATCGTCGTTCTCGTAGTCAAATACCAAACCTTGAATGAGCATCTCATGTGGGCCATCCCATCGGGCATCACCAAACTGTCTTAGATCTAAACAGGGGTTATAAGTGATACCTCCCCTAATGCCAAGTAAGGGGACATTAGAGAACTCTCCACAATATTCGACGATGATAACATTCTCTATAGATCGGGAACACCAATGGATGTCTAAATGTTTTTGCATCATCAACCTTTGTGACCACCTTGAACCTTACTGGTTCCTTAATACAGATTGGGGAAGATGAGAAATAAACCATCTTGCGAAGAGAGGAGTGCAACACATGAGGATACCTCTTTTCCTCATAGTGCGAGTGTGAAAATAATGTAGGATGTCCCCTTGCAAAGTAGGCACCGGGTTGCGAGATATGAAGATTTTGACGGTGTTCACATCTATGAGTTGGTCAGGATTTGGAAAAAAAACCATCCCATAGATGAAGAGAGCCACAATTTCCTCGAAGGCTTGCAAATCCAAAGAGTTCCAACAGTTTTGGGCTTTCTCGAACAAGAACTTTTCTAGGAAACCTTTGACACCACTCCTTGTTTCCCAATGAGTTGTGACATCAGATGGTTTCAAGTGTAGAGCTTGAGCAATCTCTTTTGGCTTTGGGTCTCTTTCCATACCGTTTAAAGGTATTTGATTGAGAATGGGAATCCTCAAGAGTTGGGAGAATTCTTCCAGAGTTGGCACAAGTTGATAATCGGGGAAAGTGAAGCAATGGTGTAAAGGATAGAAGAACTGAAATAGCATATTTACCATATCTTCATTTGTTTTGGAGGTGACTAAGTTTACTATGCGGCCATGTCTCTCGGTGAATGGAGAGTTTTCAAGAATCCTTGAAGCTATCTCTTTAAGTTGAGGAGGAATCCTTACAAGGTTGACTTGAATAGTTTTCCTGCGAAGAGAATCCATGTCCTATAAAATAGAAACAAAGAAAAATCCCAAAACTCCTTGAAATGGTTAGTGAGTATGAGCATGATGTTATGATTTTCATGATGTTATGTACAAGTAAAATATACACAAACAAAGCAAACAAGTCCTTAGGTTTAGGCTTGTGTGGAGTCTCATGGGTAAGTACCCTCTTGAAGTTCAGTCGGCTCAAACTTGTCCTAGTAATAGTAACTGGGTTCTAAGGAGCTCAATATCACTGGTTTGTTTCCTTGGGAATTGTTTCAGCATAACCCTCTTTAATGGCGACCGAAATATCCCAAAAAAACAAACCTCAATGAGTGTAGTATCGAGTATCTACCAACTTCGGACTGCACCAAAGTCGGTCATCTCACTACGTCCTAATGGCCAAGTTGGTCAAGTAAAGGTTCTAAAAGTTCATTAGTGCTTCATGACATCATTCAGCGGCCCCGTATTCTCCTTGACTACTCAAGGGCTACAGGTACCCATAAATATGTCGCACTAACGTAGCTATTGCTTAGACCGTGTCGATATACCCCGCACAGTTTCCACAATGTATTACTACTTACCTAAAAGGTATCCCAAATCCGGGTAGAGGATTCAAACCCAAAAAAAGAACCATAATGTAAAGCATATAAGTCAAACAATGAAAGCAAGTAAATATGATCTAAACCCTAAGGTAACCCCACTTTTAAAATTTCCCCAGCAGAGTCGCCAATTCTATGATACGGTGGGAGAACTGACTTGGGTCATTTGCGTTTGATCGCAATTATGCGGTTTGCAAGAGTCGCCACCGACTTTTCTTTTATCCAAAAGGAAAGGTAAAAAAAGCACATAAAAGACCTTTCGAGATTACTTCTCGGGTTCAGGGGGTAGATTATGAAAAGGGAAGGTGTTAGCACCCTTTTCATCCATGGTTTTCCATGGGCTCTTAGTTACTCGCTAGATCACTTGCTTTTGTTTGAATGTGCTTGTGGTGTGATTTTTGAAAGTATTTTGAAAATGTCTTTGCAATGATTCTCGTCTCTATAAGAACGCATACAGAGTGTTGTTTTGAAAGATAGTTCAAAGGGGTACGCGTGTGAGAAAGTGTGTTTGATTCAAGTTCATTTTTCTTCGATTAGGGTTGTCTAACGATTGATTTTGAATTTTGCCATGCACGCCTAATTATTATACAGTATAAGGAAAACAGTAAATTGCGAAAATTGAAATACTACGCTATTATAGAGTTTTCGGGAATGGGGGTACAATTTTACAAATGGGGATGAAATAATGCGATTAAAAGTCCCAATAGGCAAACAATACAACCAAATTGAATCGAGAAATTAATCGAAATTACAACAAGTTTATGAAGTAAAATAAAGATAACAAAGTATAAAATTCTAAGTATTTTGTTTGAGAAGTTTTTTTAAAAAAAGAAAAATAGAAAAAATCTATTTATATTAATTATCTAAAAAAGATTAAATTAAAAGTATGTATTTTATTTTTTAGGGTTTTGTTATTAAGAAAATAAATAAACAAATTAACATTAAAATACAAAAATTAGTTAATAAAATTAATTTACAAAATCTTGAACTAAATAAAACATAAATTAGCTTTGAAAGTATATTTTATTTAATTAAAATATTAAAGGCTAAATTAAATCTAAAATAAATTTAAAAAATCTAAAATTATTAACTAAATTAAAATTACTGCATCAAATATAAGAAGAGGTGTGGAACGAAAAACTGATGGTGCTGCCAAGAATTTCGTATGGGCTATTGATTAAAAGCCAAAACCCCTTTTTTTATGACCTTTGTATAACCATGAAAGGAAAAAAATGACAAAAGGATGGAAAAAATATGAACAAAACGTCCCAGGGGGTCTCGAACCCAGGACCTCTATATCACAAAACACACGCTAACCACTGGACCAACTGACCCTTAGTTTACTTATTTACTCTTAATAATGTAAAAGCTAAAAAAGATTAAAAATAGAATATAAAAAAATAAGGTGGGCCTGGGCCGAACTGGGTCGACCCAAGGTCCACCTTTGTTGTAATCGCAGACGGGTTAATGAAACCCTAGGGGGAAACAAATGAAGCAACGCCTCTTTCATGCAAAACTGCAGACACTTAACTCTTACCCTCTTCCCGAATCCTTGTGTAGCGGTGAAAATCGGAGATCAAGATATTAATTAACTTGACTCACAAAAAGCAAGAGTCGCCACCGCGCTTTATTATTTCCAAGGGAAAAGGGAAAAGAGCGAAATAAAACCCTAAAATATACAATGTAAAATAATACTTAAAAGTAATAAAAAATACAATGCGTTTTTGAAAGAGATCGAGAGTTCGGGGGTTGGTTATACAGTGGGAAGGTATTAGCACCCAATGCATCTGCGGTACTCCGCAGGAACCTTTTGAAATATCTGTTTTTGGTTAAAATTGTTTGTTTGATTAAAATGGTTCGTTTGGCTAAAAGATGGGTATGGACGAGATTTTTGAAGATACGACGACCTAGTGTCGAAGTTTTGACTTAAAAAGGTGTGAGTTTGAAAATTGAATCTTTTAGGAAGATCGACTTAATTTTGAAAAAAAAAACAGTAAATAGGAAAAAAATGAATGAGGGTATTCGCTTGATCGTATCAGATATTTGATGACATGAAGTCAAGAAAGTTAAAATATTTTCCTTGGAATGAATCGAGCGAGCAAAATCAAAATATAAGCATTCAAGAATTCAAAAGAAAATAAATCTAACGAAACATGCTAATGGCCAAAAGGTACCGAAAAATAAAAATGACAGAGATATTTAAAAAAACAAATAAAGGAAAGTGTAACAAATTATCTAAAGAACTTATCTGAACTGAATTAAAAATTTAAAAAAACACTTACTAAAATAATTCTAAACTAAATTACAAGTTCTAAGGTTATAAAAATAGTTCTGAGATTATTAAATTAAATCCAAACCAAATTAAAATGTAAATTAAGTTAAAATTATAAAATTACTAAGTTAAATCTAAACTAAATAAAAATTCTAAAATTTACTAACTAAATTAAAATTAAAATTACTACAATAATTCTAACTTTAAACTAATTAATTCTAATAAAAAAGGAATTTTTTGTAATTTTATATGATTAAACTAATAAACCTAATATTAAATCTAATCAACTATATATTTTTAAATCTCCTAGATTAAATCTAAAACAAAATTTTAAAGTAAGTAGATTAAAACTAAATCAAATAAAAGAATAAAGGATAATGTTAAAACATAAAATATGGGGTGTGCTGATAGTATTGGAGGGTATATTGGTTAGTAAACAAGGGCTCAGAGATTGAAAAGCCCAAACTTTTATAACAAGAACCTAACCTAAAAATATAGTAATAACATATTAAAAAATAATAATCATTAAAAAAGGTGAAGAAGAAGTTACAGCAAAGGGATGAGCGCTAGCAGGGCTGGGGATTCGCATGAACCCCATTGGGTTCGAGGTAGGTGCCAAAACTTGTGGTGGTACGTGGTGGCCATGACCCAAGTTCATTTGTGATGGAGCAGGAGGCGTAGGCTGGTAAGGTGCTGGTAACAAGAAACAATCCTGCGATTACCAAGATATACACAAGGACCTGCATTCCAAAAATTGCGAACAGAAATCCAAGAAACGTCAAAACAAACATAACCACGGTTATAATGATGAGCGCCATCCTCACAGAATCTAATAGATCTTGAATGTTGTCTGAATTCTCTATTGTTTTATCAGAAATTGTGACAGTAGAAGCATTGATATCTGTTTCTGCCTCATCAATATCAGTTTGAACATTCACAGGGAGAAAAACTCGGTCGATTCCAACCTGCTTAGCTTGAGCAAGGAAATCAGAAACGTTCCTTAGTTTATCCACTGTAGAATCGACTTGATATACCACATACTGCAATGTTGATGTCGGGCTGCGATGAAAACTACCTTGGCCAAAATAAAGAACCGCACATCCAATCATTGTTGTAATTGTGAGCAATATGAGAAGAATAAGTGGAAGTGTGTAGCATGTTGGAGAATAACCATAAGGCTCATTTTTACGACAGAAGTAACAAACAATGAGAAGTAATAAACAAAAGCCAAAGCCTATGAACCAGATTGCTGCAATGCTGAACATAGGAACTGCTGTATATGCCACTGAACACAACAACCTCTTAGCCCATTCAAACTTCTTCTCCGGAGGCCTGTCAGCAAGAACATCTAACGGCAATATGGGAGTTGAAAGTGCCACCTGTAAAACAGCGTTTGTGGGGACACGGAACTTGATGACAGCTGGTTCACCAGAAAATACTCCCTTTGATTTTGCCTCCAGCTCAAATGTGTGAGAGAGGACACCACCAGCATCAAGCTTTTCCCATGTCTTTGAAGTGGTACCACTGATTATACTGAAAAGGTCTGTTGGCCAACTCTCATCTGAGAGACTCACATCATATGCCGTCGAGGTTCCTTGGTTGTAGATATCGATGGTGACAGAGACTCTTTCAGCGCCAGTCTTGAGCCGGTTGAGAGTAGCCTTCTTGTGAGCGACGATGAAGGGAACGTCGGAGGAAGCGTGTGAGAATAGCAAGAGAGAAGCTATGAGCAGAAAAGCAATCAGAGATTTGGAGATTGGATCCGCCATTGGCACCCACAGAGAGAGAAATGGAGAGAGAGAGTTAGATAGAAGATGGATTGTTGTTGGAATGGGTTGTAGTGAGTGGGTTTAAAATGTTACTGTTGGTGTATTCTTTTTGTTGTCTTTCACAAAGAAAATGAAGACTATTTAAATAGTCAGATGAAGAGGAAAAAATGATTTCAGCTTGCAATCTGATCCGTTCACCCATTTTCATTAATCCTGCACAACTTCTATCAACCAATCAAAATAAAGCTTAGTCCAAAAACAATTTTAATGACCAAAAATCTCTTTAATGATAAAAATAACGTAAAAACTGAAAGAGCAAAAAGTAATGCAATTTAAAATAATTTTTTTTGAATTTTTCTCACTAAAAAATAGAGACCCGAAAATGACTAAAAACGATGAAAAATGAACAAAAATCTAACCGAAAAAATGAAGTGAACACATTAAAATAAACTACCTGTCTCAAAGATTAATAAAAAAAAATATTCAAATGACCAAAATCGAAATAAAATGAGAATAAAAATATCAGGCTGAACAAACATTTACGGTTAAAAACGAGACTTCAAATTGTACCGAAAAAATGAAGCGAGCATACCGTCATAACCTACGCGAAGCGCAGATTCATAAAATGATCGGTAAAAGGTGAAAACTTGAAATATTTTCTCGCTAATTTTTTGTACATTGTTGAATCGCTTTTAACAGTTTGTCTATAAAATCGAAATATTTTTATTATCGACATATAAACAATTTGGAGCAGTGCAAGAAAATAGTAAACAGATAAAAATGCATGAAGTGAAATGTCAGGTATTTTTTAACTAAAAGACGATGCAAACTTTGATTTAAACTGACTTTTCTGGTCAACTTAAATACGACTAATGATGCAAAATATGATGAATGAAGATATCTACTAATGATTGTGACCAAATGACAAAATATGGTATGAATGTGCGACTGAAAAAATTAGGGGCGAAATTAAGGGTGCAACGGTGTGCCTTGATGAATCAGTCTTCGAGAATCTACAATCAACCGTACTTCTGGCTTGGGAGACTCAAGACCTTAATTGAGGCGCGACACCTGATGCTCTTGATTCAGACCTGTCTCTGCACATGACACAAAAGAAAACATGAACATACACCTTTGTATGCGATTAGAAATTAGTGATACATATGCTAAAAATGTTCAAAACACTTGACAATCTTCACATAGTCAAAGCTCGAAGGTGAGACGTTAAAACCGACCGTATTTCGTGACCTCGACTTATCAAAAATAAAAATGGGATCTTAGGTCAAAAATTGGGGTACAACAGCTGCCCCTATTTAAGTTTCTTCTATCTAGAGATATGAAGATTGGGATCTTCATTTCGACGAGATTGAAGGGACTTAAATATAGAATACACAATTTTTGGCCTTAAGATACCGCGATTATGTTCATGATATGATATGAATGTAATGTTTTGAATTTTATGGGTAATGACGCCGTATGAGACAAACTATGCTGGAGAAACCAAGCATATTATACAGTAATCCCAACAGAGGAAGAGGTTGTAACTCCACTGGGGAAACAAAGTCATAGACTTCAAATGAGAGACTCTTGAATGATTTACATCAGTATTGGGACTGGAAAAGGTAATGATTTACAACAGTACTGTGACTGGAAAAGCATATGACTGACATTAGTACTGTGACTGGAAAATGATTGACATCAGCACTGTGGCTAGAAAACAAAATGATTGACATCAGCACTGTGGCTGGAGAACAAAATGGTTGACATCAGCACTGTGGCTGGAGATAAACATCTCTGGTTTCTGAATTTTACCAAGAACGGTAACACATTTCTTCTCTAACCAAGATATCGCTCGAAAAGGATAAAATAACAAACTTCCCCATGGGACTTTTCCGAAGGAATGCCATTTGCTGAGTAAACATTATTGTTGGGGATACACAAGCTACTCAAATAAAGAGGCCGCCACTTGCTTCCTTTCAAAGGTGTCAATAACATACAAGCTGCTCATGAAGAGACCGCCACTTGCTGTCTTCAAAGAATATTAAAGCACACAAGCTGCTCATGAAGAGTCCGCCACTTGTTGCCAAAAACCCACAAGCTGCTCATAAAGAAGTTGCCACTTGCTGTCTTCAAAAAGTATTGATAATATATAAGTTGTCCATGAAGAGACTGCCGCTTGCTGTTTTTTTTTTTTAAAAGTGTTGATAACATACAAGTTGTCCATGAAGAGACTGCCGCTTGCTGTTTTTCAAAGATAACAATAACACACAAGTTGCTCATGAAGAGGCTGCCGCTTGCTGTTTCCTCTAAGGTATCAATAACATGCAAGTTGCTCATGAAGAGACCGCCGCTTGATGTTTTCAAAGGTGTCAATAACATACAAGTTGCTCATGAAGAGACCGCCGCTTGATGTTTTCAAAGGTGACAATAACATACAAGTTGCTCATGAAGAGACCGCCGCTTGATGTTTTCAAAGGTGACAATAACGCACAAGTTGCTCATGAAGAGACCGCCGCTTGCTGTTTGTCAAGAGTATCCATAACACACAAGTTGCCTCATGAAGAGACTGCCGCTTTCTGTTTGCCAAGAGTATCCATAACACACAAGTTGCCTCATGAAGAGACTGTCGCTTGCTGTTTCCCAAAAAGATACCCATAAAATATAGTGAAGATATTGCTGGAGGTGAGAACCAATAATTTCATCGGGGATGGACAAACTGCTCATGAAGATACCGCCATTTATCGTAGAGAAATCATAAATAATCAAACCGCTCAAATAAAGAGTCAGTCACTTGTTGTCATGTCAATATTCCAGAAGAAGGTTGTGATAACACTGCTGGGGAATAAAGTTTATCTTCAATGGGGAACCATGAGTAAATCCTTCTTTAGGAGACCAAGTATTTACATTGCAAAATAAATGCACTTTCCATCTAGGTTTCACAGCCTAGAGATATCCACAGGGTATCATTCACAAGAGACAAAGCTCAATCCAGGAATAAACTGGAGAGAAAAACAGTCAAACAAGACTCCACCCAATGAGGAAACAAATCAAATGGGGATTTATCCTATCCAGAGATGGAAAAGGAAAGCTAAAGCAATATTCTTCCACGAGAGTTAACTCAGTGGGGAATTAGAAAGAAGACGCACTTTCTGCTTAAGTTGGCACTCAACTTGGAAAGATCAAATACATTATTTGAATAAACACCACCAAGGTATGCGAACTCAATGACATCAACAAATACAACTGTGCGTGCATGATGCAAGTGTGAATGAATAAATGAATGCCATGTATGTGCTGACAAAACAAATAGACAAAATAAACTGGGGATGATAAGACATCATAGCACAACCCAACACTCGGCTAATCTCAACAGGATGGGAACATTACTGGAGATAAAGCACAGGCCATCACTAGAGCAAGGTCCTTTTACAAGGCTTAAATATCTCTGGAGAGGAAGATATTTTCAGGTAGAAAACCCAAAGTCCAGTCTCCTATTGCAAACAATCCATTGAAAGGATAACAACACGAACAATGCTTCAGCTGGAAAAAAGTCTTGCTTAGCTGGAGATACTGGGAACACCACCCTCTGATAATGTATGAAAAACATATCTTGACAAATCTGGATTGCCCCTGGGACTAATTTTGGATGCCCCAAGTTTACTGCTGATAAGCTGCATGTTGCACGACAATTCTTGCGAATAACTTCACTTCTAAAATTCCCCAAGCTATATGGTTGGTGAGGAGAAATTGTCTCAAGAGGATTTTACAAAAGACCTGACATTCACCATGCTCTGGTGTCTTCAAACTCTTAGAGAGATTCAATAAATCTCGACGTGATTGCTCGAATTGACTGTAGTTGGCACAACAAAGTCTTCAACTTTTGCCCCAAAAGAGTAAACAAGTTGGGAAAGCATTAATTAGGAGAAGCAACATGTTTGTGCTTAAGGTATTCATGTGACATGCCCCCTAATATGATTTTTTTTCTTGAAATGATTCGCCAATTACTCAACATAGTTTCAAGCCTTAAAAGAATAAACTCATCACTGGTGCTTATATGAGCTTCCTTGATATCAAACAAATGTTTTGCAGTTAGAAAAAGTTTACAATGAGAATGAAAATTCTAATGCAACAGTTATGTAAGTCTTGAAGATTTTGAAAGATATCGCACAAATTTTGCGAGTTAAAGCACCATTTATCTTTGTATAGGAAAAACATATGATACCAACATAACTATTTAGAACATTCATGGGAGTCAGGAACACTATCTCATTGAAGTATGCTTTCAAAATAACCTTGCTTCAATTAGGACTTTTGAAGGTTGTAACGTGGTCTGGTTCATGGTTTTTTAGAAAAAAGATTTTAAGGCTCAAAATATTTGGTGCCCACCCATTCTTCATGATGTTCTCCAACCCTATGTTCAGTTAATTCAAACATGAGTGTTCATCTCTCAAAAGGATTTTGAGACGGTCGAGGAAACGACGAGGCTTTCGGAGTAGAAACCACCCTCATGTCTTCGTGTTTGTAGTCACCAATTTGTTCTTTGCTGAGGACTTTTCTTTGCAGTCCTTTTCTTTGCAATTTTTATTTTCCCTAACTTTTGCCTGAACTAATTCTTTTGAATTGATAGTCCAGCGGGATGCCTTAATTTTGCCTAAGTCACACGTTTTCATGTTTTTTGACTTAGCAGGCTTTTTCTTTTTTCTCGATTTTTGACTTTTTGAACAAAATGTGTGACATTAGCTTGTCTTTGCTTGTTGAGAGGATTGTGATTGCCTCGTTTCTTGATGAATGAGGGATAACATTGTTGTTCCACATCCTCTAGATTCATTATACATGAAGGATAGCCCTCGTAGTTTCTCTTCAAAAAACATCTTCCTTATGAATTTTGAACACTCAATCAGATTAACTAAAAACTACCCTGCCCCAGGTTAAAATTCAAGGTTTTTCGTATAGAAAAGAAACTTCTGCTTCAAAGGCTCAAAAGGGGTTAGCAAGGGATT